CAGGGGGGGTGACACGGCGGCGGCCAATGATGGGACACTATTCTTCCCACTGACACCAATGAAGGGGCACTATTCCTCCCACTGACACCAATAATGGGGCACTATTCCTCCCACACTGACCCTAATGATGGGGCACCATCATTGGTGTTAGTGGGAGGAATAGTGCCCCATCATTGGTGTCAGTATGGGAGGAATAGTGCCTCACCGTTGTTGTCAGGGGGAGGAATAGTGCCCTATTGTTGTTGTCAGTGGGAGGAATAGTGCCCCAACATTGGTGTCAGTGGGAGAAATAGTTCCCCATCGTTGGTGTCAGTGGGAGGAATAGTGCCCCATCATTGGTGTCAGTGGTTTGCAGCCAAACTAAAAATTGGGGTCATTGTTTGCAGCCAAACAATTAGTATTTTAGATGGAGAGCTGATCTAGGCAGACCCATCATAACAGGTATGAATACACTCACCGAACAAATCTCAGGCTTTGTAGAAAAATTTTAAAACCGTTAGTCAAGAATACTGCTAGTTTCCTGCAAGACACAACTGACTTTCTGAACAAGATCAACAACTTACAGCAATTACCATCTAATACACTTTTAGTGACTATAGATGTAGTATCCCTGTATAGTAATATCCCTCACAAGGATGGATTAGCTGCATGTCACAGATCCTTATCATCCTCACCAAACCATAAATACACTGCTGAGGATGTTACACAGCTCATTGAATTCATACTTACACACAACTACTTTGCCTTCAATAAAGACGTCTATCTTCAATGTATGGGTACTGCGATGGGAAATAAAATGGCACCCCAATATGCCAATTTATTTATGGCTGACCTGGAGGAAAAATTCCTGAACAGCATGGAACAAAAACCATACAGATACTATCGCTATATTGATGATATTTTCATCATATGGACAGAAGGTGAAGAAAACCTAAAACAATTTTACTCATTGATCAACACTTTTTTCATCCATCAATCAAACTAAAAATGGAATACTCAAACACACACGTCAACTTCCTAGACACCACAGTATACATCAGGGATGATACGCTTCACACCTCAATATACAGGAAACCCACTGACAGATGCAACTACCTCCACAGTTCTAGCTTCCACCCCCAACACACGAAACGTGCCATCATGCACAGTCAGGCCATTAGTTACCACCGAATATGTTCTGACCCAAGAGACAGAGATAAACATCTCGGGACACTAGCAGACTCCTTCCATAAGAAAGGTTACAAGGACAAAACTATCAACACCGGCATAAACACAGCCTTGAGAACACGAAGAGAAAATCTACTTCAGTACAAGGAGAAAAAACCAAACAACCGTGTACCTCTAGTAACCACATACAACCCAGCACTAGAAGGAATAAGAAAAATAATCAAAGATTTACAACCCATCATAACAGAGGATGGAAATCTGAAAGAAATATTCCAGCAACCACCAATACTAGCATTCAGACAACCCCCCAACCTCAGAAATAAACTAATCATTAGGAAACTTCCTTCTGAATATGAGGTCACAAATAATGGAAACAAACTCTGCAATAAGAAACGCTGCAAACTGTGCAACCAAATCAATCCATCAAAAAGTGTCAGACACTCAAAAGGGGATCTTTAATATCTCCGGATCATACAGCTGCACCTCCAGTAATGTTGTGTACCTTATCCAGTGCAGAAAGTGTAGCAAAGGATCTTATGTTGGCGAAACAGGACAGAAGTTGCAAACAAGGATAAATTTGCACAGACATACCATCAAGGAACATAAAGAAGATGACCTCTGCACACCTGTGGGACACCATTTCGCACAACCGGACCACACTTTGGGAGACCTCAATGTTTTAGTTCTTAAAGGAAATTTCAAATCCATTCAGGAAAGAAAAATTTTGAACTAAGAATGATAATTCTATTTGACACAGAAGATAAGAGCCTTAATTTGGACATGGGATTCCTCACTCATTATCCAACAGTTTTATCACCTCAAGCATGACTGCCTCTGTGAGTGTCTCCCAGCACTATAGAGTCAAACATATGGACATATACACAGAGATAAATGACAGTCCACATCCTCCCTCCCACTAACCAGCTAAACACAATGGGGGCGGGATATTACATTTTGATTGATGGAGGCTTTGCCTCTCTGTTATTCTAATACACAGGCTTGAGGGGTGTGACACAGCCTGTGACTGGCAGAAATCCGCTGACACCATGTTATTGCCAAAAAATAGTATATATTTGTAAGACAATTTAAAACAGTTTATTAATATTAATTATTTTTACTCTGTATTCCAAAAGCTGTTGTTTTATTTTCAACATGTAACCAGTGGCATAAGACTAGAAGCTCCTCCTGCCTATGTTTCCCTGCACAAAGGCTGAGAAGGAGCTGGGTCATGTGACAGCTGTATATTGATTATGAAATTTATTAAAGTAATTACAGTGCCATCATTCACACACAGAAATAGAAGGGCCAATGTAAATTAAACAGTGCATGTTTAGTATCACTTTAATCCTTACCCCTAAACTCTGTGCATTACTTAATTCTGACCCCCTTAACTCTGTGCATTACTTAATTCTGACCCCCTTAACTCTGTGCATTACTTAATCCTGACCCCCTTAACTCTGTGCATTACTTAATCCTGACCCCCTTAACTCTGTGCATTACTTAATTCTGACCCCCTTAACTCTGTGCATTACTTAATTCTGACCCCCTTAACTCTGTGTGATACTTAATCCTGACCCCCTTAACTCTGTGTGATACTTAATCCTGACCCCTGAACTCTGTGTGATACTTAATCCTGACCCCTGAACCCTGTGTGTTACTTAATCCTGACCCAAAATTCTGTGCGTTACTTAATGCTGACCCCTGGACTCTGTGTGATACTTAGTCCGGTCCCCTGAACTCTTGTGTACTGCTTAATCCTGACCCCTGAGCTCTGTGTGATACTTAGTCCTGCCCCCTGAACTCTTGTGTGTTACTTAATCCTGACCCCTGAACTCTTGTGTGTTACTTAATCCTGACCCCTGAACTCTGTGTGTTACTTAATCCTGACCCCTGAACTCTGTGTGTTACTTAATCCTGACCCCTGAAATCTCTGCATTGCTAAATCATGACCTTAACCACTTTCCCGACCAGCCGTTGCATATAAACGGCCGGACGGTGGCAGTGCAGGGTCGGGTGGCCGTTTATAAACGGCTTCCCCACACCCTGCTTGTGCGCGCTCCCTCGGAGCGCACAGCACCGCGATCCGGTGCCCGCTGTGTCCTCCGGACACAGTGAAACACCTATCATCGGACGGGACCTCTGTATGAGGTCCCGATCATGTGATCACTGATTAGCCAATCAGTGATCACATGCAAAGTAGTAAGCAAGATGTCACTTGTGACATCATTGCTTACTACGTGTGAAATCTGTGAATGATCACAGAGGTCACATGGTACAAGGCTATTCACAAAAGCCTTGTACCATGTGAAAAGCTGTGACCAATCACAGCTCACTCAGTACTTCTCAATGAGTGCAAGAATGCACACAGAGAGAAAGAGAAATGATTGCTTTTACATCCTATATGGGTGTAAAAGCAATCAGTGTAAAAAAAAAAAAAAAAAAAAATCTTCATCACACCCCCACAAGTAGTACAGTGTCACCATGGTGACACTGTACTGCTAGGGTGACAGTATGTAAAAAAAAATAAATAAAAATAAAAAATAATATAAAAAAATAAAAAAAAATGTTTAAAAATGTTTAAAAATTATAATTTTTGGTTCTAAACTAATTTGGATTTTTTTTTTACTAAAAAGATAACGGAATAAATTTTGGCAAAGATTTATGATGAAATATTATTTATTTTCAAAATTTTATAAAAAAAACACTTTTTAAAAATTTGTTTAGACTTTTTCATTTACATAGCAAAAAAAATAAAAATCCCAGCTGTGAATAAATACCACCAAAATAAAGCTTTATCTGTCTCAAAAAAATGGTAAAAAATTCATTTGGGTACAGTGTTGCATGACAGCACAATTGTCATCCAAAATGTGACAGCGCTGAAAGCTGAAAATTGCCCTGGTCAAGAAGGGGGTAAAAGTGTCCGGTCTGGAAGTGGTTAAACTCTCTACATTACTTACTGCTGACTCTTGAACTCTGTGTGCTACTGAATCACAATCCCTGAACTCTGCGTGCTGCTTAATCCTGACCCCTGAACGCTTTGTGTTATTTAATCCTAACCCTGCCTCAAAACCCTTTTAATACCTGCTCCCTGTTACTGTAATTTGGTCACACCCCCCAATTCACGGAAGTGCGCACAGCACTCTGCATCGTTCCCTTGTGAAAAAAAAAAATTCAGGGCATGTTTAAAAAAAAAATAGAGGTGTGATTTTTTTTTTTTGGGGGGTGTAGCCAACAATGAGGGTGTACTTGTGTGGGTGTGGTCAGTAGGGTGTCCCTGGATTTCATTTGATAACCTTATGTCAGGACCACCCAGAGCTTGAATTTTGGATTGTTCAATAGGAACTGGCTGACATTCACTCCATGTCTGGCCATCTTAAAGTGGTAGAAACTACTTACAAAAAAAAAACCTTTTCCCCTTAGATGCATACCAGTAAAATCGGTGAAAAAAAAACCTTTTCCCCTTAGATGCATACCAGTAAAATCGGTGAAAAAACCTTTTCCCCTTAGATGCATACCAGTAAACATTATGTGAAATGAACCTTAAAAGAAAGTTCTCCCATGGCCGCTGTCACTGCTGACAGGGCTTCCATCTTCACTCGATCCTTCTTCCAGGTTCGCAGGATCTGGCGGCTTGGCCGAGTCACCATTACGTCACTTCCGTGCACGCACACGGGAGTCACACAGCTCTGAAAAAAACGTCACGGGCATGCTGTTCCTTCAGAGGGGCTGTTCCTTCAGTGCGCCCGTGCTCTACACAGGTAAATATCTCCTAAATGGTGCACATTTAGGAGATATTTACAGTACCTACAAGGAAGCTTTATTCAGGGGCGTCCCTAGGGATGGTGTCACCCGGTGCGATAACACTTGGTGACACCCCCTCCGACGATCCCCGCAGAATGGATCGGATCTGCAGATTGAACATAATGGATCGGACTCCGATCCATTATGCTCCCCAATCCGCAGATCCAATCCATGCTGCGGGGGATTGTCGGCTTTCTTTACAACTTACCTTTTCGTGGAGAGGGCCCGTGTCACCCCGTATAGGTTGCATGCCAACGATCCCCACAGGATGGTTCTGATCTGCGGATTGAGCATAATGGATCGGAGTCTGATCCATTATGCTCCCCAATCCACAGATCCAAACCATCCTACGGGGATCGTCGGCTTTCTTTACAACTTACCTTTTCGTGGAGCTGGTCCGGTGTCACCCCGTGCGGTAGGTGTCACCCGTTGTGGCACGCACCCCCTGCACCTGCCTTGGGACACCACTGGCTTTATTATTGGCTTACCTGTAGGTACAAGTTACAAACAGACTTCCCTACCACTTTAAGGCTTTTAGGAACACATTTATTTACTCACACTCATCAACAACTGGCAGCAAATACACTATTCAAAGCCTTCTAGTTGTCACTGCTACAAAACTGCTGGTGTGACAATGTCCTTCATTCTGTTCATTAACATTTCTCCTCTAACAGACACTTGTCTGTGCTCATTAATAATGATTTCCTAATATTGCAACGCAGATTTTACTGGTAAAAAGTGATTAACCCAGGGTCGTCATCTCCTCTGTACTTTCCTGTAATGTTCACATAAAGACTCGTGTCTGGCATCAGTTGATGATTTTGTGCTTATGAACTGGATCAAACAAAAGCTTCTGATTGTTGCACTTTTTATTTTAATTGAAATTTGAAGCATGCTTTCTCCATACTAATTTAGTTATTGTTCCATCTTCTGGGCATGAACTTCAATGGGGGAGAGTACAGGAGAGCATATCCTCCAACAACAGCCATGTGTATTGATTGTCCATGCAATGTGGACTTTGCCAGCATCAGCTTTTAGAGGTAAAATTGCAGATGTGTGTTAATGAGTCTAATCCCAGTCCATGGCTTCCTCTAAATACAAAGTCATCTTTTATACTTGATTACAGTCCAAGAACTTGGTTATCACATATAAAATCATAGTATTGTGGAGGAGACTACAGCAATGTAATAAATAATTTTTTTAAATTCATATTGTGGTTACCAATTATTCAGCAGTGGTATTTCAAGGCCGAGTTCCCACTGTTCTGCTGCAGTATTGCATGCATTAGCATGCAACTTACCGCAATGTGCAAAAATGTTTGTTCTTTGGGTTGGTGCGATGCCATTTATTCTTAATGGGACCCCATTGCACCTCGCCAACGGACATGAATTGCATCTTACCATAACTCACAGTAATGCACTACCATGCATCCTGGTACGCTGCATTACAAACTAATATATGCACCATCTTTGGTGCATTTTAGCACATTGGGCAGCCCGTTAACATGCAAAGTAACACATGTCAACACGCTTATGTTAATGCACTCTAACAGTGTAAACCATGCCTTAATGTTTGGAGTCTGAAGCAGAAAGCTTCATGGCATTGCGAGTCCTGAACACTACCCTATGCAAGAACAAAATGGCTTTATCTTGTTACATTTACAGCTGAATTCTAGCATAAGCAAATATATCACCTAATTACAAGAGGCATGTATATTCTTACTTGAAACTAGGTGTGCTTTGTGTCATTCTTCTAGATCTGTGCAGTAATCCAGTGTGAAACCTTTCTTTTTGCAAGAGCTTCCTGTAATAAAGACCAGTCATTCCTGCCCTCTCTCCTTGTGCAGGGTCCCTGGTCTTGTGTCCGCCCCCTCCTGTAGTTTTCTACAGGCAGCTTGTAATGGGTGGAGTCTGCTGGGTCCCTCCTACAGCTCTGCTCTCTTCACAGGCTGTACAGTAGCTCTGATGAAGAATGGACCCCCCTTCGAAACGCATCAGCATTATTCTTCCCCTTCAGATGGGATTCGCATGTGTCCCCTTATTGTAGGATGCACTTTTGGATTTTCTATGCCTGTTTTAATACTACTTTTGTGAGTATATCTTCTAAAATCAATAAACTTACTAACTGTTTACTGAGGTAATGCGCAAGGTGTGTGCGCTCTGTTTTTGTTCACTACAGTACAGTGGTGATGTCCCTGCTACTTTTTTAAGATAATATCTGGGTTTGCAAAGGCATTTGGTGCACACAAAATCAATTTATATAATCTGTGGATAGTGAGGAATATAATTAAACAAATTTTTTTGGTGCCTGGAATTCAAAGACTAGGTATGCCAAAGTGTTCTTTTTTAGCATTAATTGTAGCATTCAGAAGGATAATTACAGATGATATCTTACATCATAAACACACAGCATAGTCTTCAAATGTATGTGGCCATCCCACTACCATATCTGCTGTGAAGGTTGATTCAGTTGTCTATCTTCCAGACTATTTTAGTTCTGCCCATCCCTGTGAATATCTGCTACTTCTACATATTTGTATCAGACTAGAGAACTCAGGATAACCACCAGTGTATCTGTATTTACATACATTAATAGAATACAAGCGATCCTACACTCCAGTTTCTAGAAATTAAAGTAAAAGTCCCCTTCCTCTGGGGACTACTGTCTGGATTATCTGCTGTTCAAAGTCTACTTCCCTTACTTCATCTCTTTTATCCTATTTCACAGCTGACCTCCGGTACCATTAGTACAGGCCTGACTGTTTTACAATTTAATGGGGATTTTTAATTGCTAAGTGGGTTACACCGATCCTGTGCTGCTTCTTATAGGAAAGATTTACATTCACCTCTGATGTGTAAAAGCAGAAATTATCAGTGGCTTCTCCTGCTATAAAAAAACAAATAATCTGCTATCTATCTTGGCTTGGATCCTGGCAGATTTATCATCCTTTATATATGAATATCTATTTACCTATTCCTTCATTGTGTTTTTCAATATGTTGATTGGCAGTAAAGCTAATGATCAATATCAGATGTCAGGCTACTAAGGGCCCATTTGTTTTGCATAGCAATGTGCATTATTGGTCCTTAACCTCTTCACGCCGGCAGCACACAAATGTGCGGCCTCCCGGCGTCTGGGCCTAGACGCTGAGCGGCCGCACATTTGCGTTCAATTAAAAAAAAAACATATGTGCTGAGAGCGCGAGCCCTACGCGCTCCCAGCACACATGTCTGGTACTCACGGAAAGGTCCCGGTCTTCTCTTTCGATCGGGACCTTTCCCGATTATGCGACTGCCGTGACAACGCGTCACGGCGGTCACATTATTCCTAAATTCCATCCCGCTTCCCGGCGTCTGAAACTCTTAAAGGGCTGGGAGGCGCTGGCGGGAAGGGGTTAAAGTGATATTAAAGGCAATTTAAAAAAATAGAAAACAAGTTATACTTACCTGCTCTGTGCATTGGTTTTGCACAGAGCAGCCCTGATCCTCCTCTTCTGGGGTTCACCGCCAGTGCTTCTGGTTCCTCCCACAGAGCCATGGCTCGACCCTACCCCCTCTCTTTCCTCATTGTCTCACTTGCTGTGATTAACAGCAAGGGGGAGCCAATGGCCTGACCTACAGTTTTGCGTATGTTAACTTTGAATGATCAGTTCCTCTTTAATAATGTATTTATCTGGAACCTCTCTCTCTCCCCAGAGACATTACATAGTTACAACTGAAGTTTAATCTACTTATATTTTGCCTTCCTTGGTTCATCCTACCCCCATCATCAACATACTAATGGCATTTTCAAATAAAACCTTTCTGTTTTTATTGTGTAGCCAGACGCTTGGCTAAGAATGGAGAATGAGAGAAACACTGGTTGCAGCTGCTCTCTGTAACTGCCGCCCTGTGGTGCTGAACTTGTTGACAGCTATTTCAGCAGGAGGAGGGAACTGCTGAGCAGGAAGAGTTCAATAAACTGTCAGGCAGCACTTCATTGTGGGAACTGTAGTCCAGACGAGAGAGACTCTACTGTAATCGAGAGCTTTTGAACGTCATTTCCCAGAGGGAGATTGCCAGGAGGAAGGGAAAGGGCTACTTTGTCTCAGGCTGTACAGGACACAGCTTGCCTCTAGCCATGAGCAAGCCTGGAGACTGCACATAGCTGTCCAGTGTGCACCATCACTGCTGCATTACAGGAGCCTGAGCAGGATGCAGATTGGTGAGTTCAGATATGCCGACAGTCAGAGTCAACTGGGTGCAGAGCAGAGAGTGGACTAGTCTCTGTGTGTGACTGGATGGTGAGCTGCAATATCACTGGGATTGGTGAGCTGCTGTGGGGAATTACTATCTGCTGCTAGAAAGACTGCATCCATTAGGACCTGACTATACAGCCATCTAGTAGCCTTATTGCTGCCTGCAGCTTGACTGAGACTGTTCTCATGTGCACCAATGGTACAACTGGGCCCCAGCATTAGTCGGCTTAAGAGTTAGTTGACTAAAGATTGTCCCTGTACAGCTATTACACAAAGACCTTCAGTTATTCCTTATGCTAAAAGGTACCTCAAAGGGGACATTCCACCATATCTTAGCCATTCTCCTAGAGTTCACTGTAGATTAGTTGTAGTATTATAATTCACATTGCAGTTAACGTTTATATGCACAATTTATTGTTGACTTCGCTGATTCATGAGCTAATCCTAGTCTAGTGGTACAGAACTCTATTCTAAGTTGCCTTGGCAGAGTGAATATACTGTCTAGTAGACTGTGTCTGAAACTACCTTCTGTGTGTTCATTTATGCTCAAACCACCATTTATTCTAACCCGTACCAATGCATTTACAACTAAACAGTCTTGTGTCTATTTCCTAGTACTAATTCATAACCAAGTTAAAGGTATCTACACTTATGGTCCTATGAGTGCTTGCATTAACTTTCTCTCAGCCAGTTGTGTCTGAGGGGCTGTATGTTCTTGGATTCAAGGTGCAGAACAGAGAACCTAAATGACCAAGTAGCTCCTTCCGGGGTAGCGCTACACTTGCATACCTTATTTCAGGTCTGGTGATGTCATCACTGGGGTTCCGATATTCTCTATGCAATGTAAGAAGTATGGCTGGTGGAAAAGGGTGTGTATCGCTTCCTGAAATCTGAAGACCATCCTAGATAACACCCATATGTTCAACCTCCATACTCAAAGTAACTGAAATGAATAAAAGGGATGGGACATGGACAATGAGGCTGAGGAGAAAAGGGTAGAGTATGCCTAGCATCATACAGCTAGGAATGGGCTCTGTCTGACTTGCTGCAGCTTCTAATGCACAGTGTGAGAAGCACACAGTGTGCAGTTAAATCAGATTATTCAGTAAGGGAGAGGATCCTGTACAACTGTGTAAGACTGAAAGTATATTTGGAATTCAGCTTTACTTTCTAACATATACCATTTCCCTAAGTGTTTGAAGGCACACTAGGATGTTGGACATTGCATGCAATGGTGG